AAAGTGTGTTAAGAGATGCAAACATGGGCGCAATTATAGGGAAGCTATTGAATTTGCAAGTCCTCAGCCTTGTGGGATGTGATCTCGAAGAGCTGCCTGGGCAAATAGGGCTACTAGCTTACCTAAAGTTGTTAGATTTGAGTGACTGTACCAAACTCAAAGTAATTCCACCAGGTGTCTTGTCGAGCTTGTCCAGATTAGAAGAACTATATATGAGAAACAGCTTCTATCAATGGGCGGAGGGTCAGAAGCAGAAAAAGCAAGTTGCTAGCCTTTTTGAGTTGAGGCAATTAACGAAGCTAACTGCTATAGAGATGCGAATTAACATTTGCAATACCCACATAAATAAAGGAGACTTGTTCTTTAAAGATTTAGAAAGATACAAGATTTTCGACGGGGATATGTGGCACTCCTGGGATGGTTATTGTGGAAGTTCAAAAATATTGAAGCTAAAGCTAGATGGGAGTATTAATTCTGAGCATGCAGTTAAGAAGTTGCTAAAGAAGACAGAGGAACTACATTTACAGGGGACTAGTGGTGTCTGGGATGTTAGTGATTTAGATAGCGCAGGTTTTCAAAACTTGAAGTATCTCTTTATCCAAGATGTTCCATATATTTCATGGATGCCTGCATTTCCCGTATTGGAGGAATTAGTTCTTCGTAATTTGGAGAATATAGCGGAGATATTCCGTAGTTCGGTTACAGAATCATCTTTTTGCAAATTAAGAAAGATAACGGTTGAAAATTGCAAAAAACTAAAGAATTTGTTCTCCTCCTCTATAGCCAAAAATCTTCTCCAACTCCGAGAAATTAGAGTGACAAGCTGCAAAAACATGGAAGAGATAGTTGATGACGAGGAAGAGACTGTTGATGACGAGCAGCAAGGGGGCCAAATTGACAACGTTGATGGCGAGGAAGAGATTGTTGATGACGAGCAGCAAGGGAGCAAAGTTGATAACATTGATGCAACAAAAGAACAACCAACAGAAAATCAAGCGACAGAAAAACTGAAGGAACTGTGGTCCTTGAGATTAGAAGGCCTACCAAAGTTGATTGGCTTCAACAGTAGTTGCCGAGCAATGACACTTTTCGACGAACAGGTGTCTGATTAATTTCTTTTATTTCATTTTGTTCTCATCCAAGCCATCGCCTCTGCATTACTCGTTTGTATTCTAGCTAGACATACCTAATCTCTACGAATTTTAACGTGCCCATCCTTTTTGTTTTTCAATCAACAAAATGAGAAGCATTTATTAGGAAAATCTCATTGTATATTATGCAGGTTGCATCTTCCAGTGCTGCTCAGCGGTTTGAATCTTTCAGTGCTGGTAAACTAAAGAAATTGATCATTAAGGGATGTGATAAATTGGAATACATATTCTCATCTTCTATGGCTCAAGGTCGATATATGCTGGAACACCTTGAAATAAGGAAATGCAGGAGAATGAAAGAGGTCATTTTTACAGATAATAATGGAAAAGAAAAGTTGACTTTCCCTCAGTTGAACATTCTGGAGATAGAAGACCTTGAAGACTTTGTCAATTTCTACTCAGGAAAGTGTATTGTTGAATTCAAAACACTGAATAAACTACAAGTGTTGAACTGCCCAAAATTGGAGGGATTCATTGCAAACACACAGGCACTATTTAGTGAACAGGTACGTTTTCCTCATTTAACTTACATTGTGGCTTTAAATCTGGAAACTGTGCACCCGTCCTTATCCTTCGACAGATTGGAGAGATTGCATTTTGGCTACAAATTTAGACAAATTTGTTAAATCTGTTTAATTAATTAAAATGAAAATACTAAAATGCATTCAATAAATTGCATTCTAACTTTCTTCGAAAAAGAAGTTGAGGATGAAAAAGAAATAGTTATCTAAAATAGGGGCATTCATATTCAATTCAATCCAATTGATTTCGACTCAAAAAGTCCCAAACAAATTCAGAATTGATTTTGTAAATTTCAATTGATATAATTAGTTCAATTCCGATTTTAGCTTCAATTGATGGAACCAAATTAATTAAAAAAATAATTTAATTAAATAATATTATTTTTCTCTTTTTCCTATTTTATTTATGAATTATACATTATTTTTAGGTTTATAGTACTTAGTTTTGTGGGATTACTTGGTTTAGTTTGTTGAATGGTCATTAGGTTCTTTCTATTTTTTTTTTTTTATATTGGATTGCATAATAAGAAGCAATCCTCTCATATTCCTAACTCATCCCACTTGCATGTTATGTGATTCAAATTTAAAATTTTTTATTTTTAGTAAAAAGAGATTACTACTAAATTATTTAAGTTGTTGGCACCCTTTTTCCAATTTGAACACTAATAATTCGATTTCTAGATTTATTTGTTGCATTATACTACTTCTATTTCTTATCATGAACTTAGTCTCTTGTAGTTTTCATTGCTGGGCGAAGTAGATCAACATACTTAATTAATGATATGGCAATGCAGAGGATTCCATCTATAGATTTAGTTTGTTCCATAATAAATATAAAACCGTTTAATTCAATCACAACAGAACCAAACCAATCTAAGTTGAATTTCTTTGTTTATAGTACATTAATGTTTATAAGCTAAGTCAATAAAAAAAATTAAACAAAAAAAATTTTAAAATTACTTCATTTCAATAAAACACATAGGAAAAGATTAAACTACTCTTCATTCATACCCTAAAATATGTTTATTTTAGACTTCTGCAATGGAATTTTATAGAAATGACCTAATTTTAGGTGTTTTTCTACTAAAATTTTTACCGTTGTAATGGATTAACACTTTCCCATTATTACTATTATATGTTTATTTTAGACTTTTGCAGTAGAATTTTATAGAAATGACCTAATTTTAGGTGTTTTTCCACTAACACTTCTACAGTTGCAATGGATTAACACCTTCCCATTAGTGTTATTATTATTGTTATTATTTCAAATTTTTAGTGATAGAGAATATTAAAAAATGATAAAGTTATTGTTCCTGTCAACAGTTGCTGTTAATGAATCTTTTTTCTTTTTTTTTTTTTCTTTTTTTTATTTATTTATTTACATATTCCATCCAATAACTGCATGTTATTTCACATTTTTGCTTTGAGATTATGCTTACATCATTGTTAATCTGATCAAAGCATGTCCCATAGGAGAAGTCCCAATAGTTAAGAATTTAAATATTTACATTTGAAATCTTAAGTTTGAATTATGAGATAGGTGAACAAGGGTTTGGGGAGGGAAAGATTATCCTCATTATATAGCTCATCATCTACCGTGCCAAAAAAATAGTTTAATGAAAGCATAAAAAATTTATATGAAAGGAGATTATATTGGGCTGAGTTTTCCAACTTGAAGTTAACTTCAATTGGCATTCATCAAAACTGACAGAAACAAGCTTTCCGCAATGTCTTTTTGTCTTTAAAAACTAACAATTTCTTTACAGGTCGAGTTTCCCAAGTTGGAAATTTTGAGGCTGTCGTCAATTAACATTAAGCAAATCTGGCACATTTCGAGTAAGCAAATCGCTTCCATTGAAAAGTTAAAGAAGTTGTTTGTGGAGGGTTGCGGTAATTTGGAATATCTATTGACCTCTTCTATGGTTAAGAGTTTTAAACAACTCATGGTGCTCAAGATTTCTAACTGTAAGATGATGGAAGAGGTAATAAAGGAAGAAGAAAGGATGTGCGAGATTTCCTTTCCCGAACTAGACACTCTAGAACTTGAAGACCTTCCCAAACTCACAGGATTCTATCTTGGAAACTCCAACGCTACAATAAGTGAGTGCCTTCCTGCTGCCAGTATTGAAAATGTAGAAAATACTTATATGCCATCTCTCTTCCATGACAAGGTACTTTCTTATTTGCTTTTCCCTTTATTTTTCAGTTAGTTACTCCTCATAAATTTTGTATTTTTAAATTAGATTCTAAAAATTTTTAGTCTAACTAAGAATCTTTTTGAAGGTTGAATTGCCCAAGTTGAAGTTGTTGAGACTATCTTCAATTAACATTCAACAAATTTGGCATCTTTCGATTCCAAGAATCTCTCTTCCTATACAGAATTTAAAAAAGTTGATTGTGGAGCGTTGTGACAATGTGAAATATCTATTAACTTCCTCTATGATTATGAGTTACAAGCAACTCATAATGCTCAAGATTTGTCATTGTAAAATTATGGAAGCGGTAATAGATTCAGAAGAATCAAATGAAGAAACAATTTTCTTCCCTGAACTAGTCAGCATAGAATTCGTAGGCCTTCCCAAACTCACAAGATTCTATCATGCAGAAAATAGTGACAAACCATCTCTCTTTGATGAAAAGGTGATTTTTCTTCTTTGCCCTTTTTCCATTTAGTTTTCAATCAGTTTGACCTCATAATAATCTTTTTTTGAAAATGACTTCATAATAATCTTATATTGTTCTAAAAATTTATTATTCCAACTAAAAATCTCTTTGCAGGTTCAGTTTCCCAAGTTGAGGATTTTAAGCTTGTCTTCAATTAACATTCAGCAAATCTGGCAAATTTCAATTCCAAAGATCTCATTAGAAAAGCTTTCAGTGGAGGACTGTGGCAATTTGAAATATCTGTTTATGTCCTCTATGGTTAAGAGTTTTGAGCAACTCACGGTGCTCAAGATTTGTAATTGTAAGATGATGGAACAGGTACTCATCTCATGTGGATTAGTGGGAGAGGAAAAGTTGTGTGAGAGTTTCTTCTCTAAACTGGACACCCTAGAACTTGAAGAGCTTCCCAAACTTGCAAGATTGTGTCATGGAAACTACTCTAAATTTATATTTGCCAACCTTAGACGGTTCACCATAAGCGAGTGTGCTGTGTTGAAGACGCTTATAGGAGACAATACTGTCAGTACTGAAAATGTCGAAAATACTTCTACCCCATCTCTCTTTGATGAAAAGGTAATGTTTTCTTTGTGTTTTTCCCTTCCAGTTACAATTAATTTCACCTCATAAAGCTCTTAAAATTTTAAATTAGATTCTAAAAATTCATTATTTTATCTTCTTTCTATATGTTCCCTTTCTCTCATTCTAGCTGAATTATAGTTACTAATGCAATTGTATAAAATTTTTAGGTGGAATTCCCTAGATTAGAGCAGGTGATAATCAAGTTTATGGGGAGTTGGTCCAAGATATGGGACGATAAACATGATGAGAATTCTTGTTGCCAACTAAATTCTCTCACTGTGGATTCATGTGAAAAGCTGTTGAATATTTTCCCATTTAGTATGCTGGAAAGAGTACGCCAGAAGCTAGACACACTGGAGATACAGAATTGTGATTCACTAGAAGAGATATTTGGTGCTAGCCAACAAGAAGTTCAGAAAACTACTCAGCCAACTAATTTGGTGGAAATTGTCCCAATGTTTCTCTTTCCAGAATTGACACACATAAATCTTTCTAAGCTACCCAAACTGAAAGGCTTTATCCCTCAAATTCATATTAATGAATGGCCATCATTGAAACAATTACGGATGCACGGATGTGATGAACTTCAGATATTTGCTTCAGAACTCCCAAGTTTTCAAGGAATAAAAGAAGATGACAAACTTCAGATTCAGTGGATAAGCAAGGTAAAGGCTACAATATTCCCAAAAAAAGAAAAAAAGAAAAAAAAGAAATGCATGTGTAGGATGCACTTGCCTTTGAGTTAAAGTTAATTTTTTTTCACTTAACATATTCAAGTTGAGGTATACGATTAATGTTTTGCAATTTTTATATTCTTTTAGTTGGTTGTTTTGAAAAATCAACCCTTTTTGTTATTTATTTATAGGAAATAAATAATTATTTATATTAACTTCTTGTAAATTTTTTGAATTTAACGTGGTAATAAACACTTTTCTGAGTTTTATCCATGAATAATAAATATTCAAAATCTACATATGTTTTCATTTTCTAATTTTAACTTAAAAATTAAACAATTCTTGTTAATATATATATATATATATATACACACACCACATATTACTCAGTTTTTTATTCTGTATTTATAACTGGTTAAATTCAAATAAAATGTGCTAGTTTACAAATTTAATACAAGTTCGAATAATTTTTCATCTTTATAATTTAACACTTTTTTTACTAACAATTTAGAAATATACATCTTTGAGTGTAGCTGTGACTTGATATAAATTACCTTTCTGCTAGTAGTCCTGAATTTAATACAGATAGCTACAAAGATTATCGCGCATAGAGATTTTACAATACTCAATGGATGTGGCCTAGGTATTCAATGTTTCTTTTCCTGGACTATTCTTGTCAGAGGATTATCTTCTTGTTGGGAATATAAATAATTAACGACGATTACGTTTATGGATCCCTCGGTTAATCATATCACCTTCATTGCACAGAGAATTTCGTTATACCAAAGGAGTGGGAAGATATGTTGCATGCTTCCTGCTAGGCACCTCGTAATTTCGCATAGCGATAATCCTGCATATTGGAGTTGGTCCAAACCTGATCCCAGGTAGTTCTCTCTCTCAAACACACAACACAACGCACACACTGATAACCACACCTACAACTAAAAGAATTCAAGCAAATAGATATAAGATTGTTTTAGTCTCTCTCCCAGCGTAAAATAAATAAATATGTGATCATAAGCATATTTCTAATTCATGCTTATAAACAGGTTCCCTGAGGTTGCAAAGCTTCTTGATGTTTGTTGGTTTGAATTCTACGGGAGGATTAACACTCTCATGCTTTCTCCAAAAACACGTTATAAGGCTTACCTTGTGTTCAAGCTGGCGGACAGAACTCATGGATTTAGAAATTCACCTATAGAAGCTGCTGTTGTTCTACTTGGTGGAGCTGAAGTTTCAAAGCGAGAAGTGTACGTGCAGGCAGAAAGTGGAATTGTAGGAAATGGTGATCAGTACCCAAAAGGGAGGGGAGATAATTGGTTTGAGGTAGAATTGGGTGAAATTGATTTCACCAAAGAAAGACGCACAGATGGTGTATTGGAAATACATCTCCAGCGGCTTACTGGCGACTGGAAGAGCGGTGTCATTATTAAAGGCATGGAGATCAGGTCAAATTAGCAGAGGACATAACAAGATTTTCTTTCACCTTGTGTATGTTATATGTGGAAGGAATATTGCTCCTCGTGTTAAATTATGGTCAATTCTATTATCGTCTAACCATGGTCTTTAAATCTTTATTCGAAGAATCTATGATTTGTGGAGTTAATTACCAAGTTTGAAGTGATTTAAGAGTTTTTAATTATCTTAAAAAATAATGCTTTTAACTAGAATTTATGATTTAATTCAGCTAAATTTCCTGTTGGTCAATGAAATATGGAGTTTGTATCAGTTTGGCTTATAATCTTTATTTTTTTACTCTGCAGCCAAGAAACTAGAGAAACCGCACCAACTTTGTTATTTCCGTCCACCATGTGTCAATTTGATGAACAGAATTTCACACAAGGGCTTATTAATTGCTCTAAACCATGAAGTACAAACTTTAGATACCATAAGGGGAAACAAATGAAAATGGTTATTGCCACAAATCAAATTCGACTTCTACCTTCATATGAACTTACAGGCCAATTTTTTTGGGCCAACAAACATACTAATCTTATATATAAACTAAATAAAAGATCCATACAAAAGTCTTGGACAAAGGACACAAACCAGAAGAGGAAGAATAGCTCTTACGAAAAGCAGGAACAAAAACAAAACACCCTGATGAAATCCTGCAAAAAGGAGACGAGGACAGGGGAGCTCCTGCCAGAAGCTGTACATCCTCTTAATAACAGGCTTTGTTTGAAAAGTATATCATCTGCTTCACCTTTAGTCAAATGAAATGCAGCACCATAGTGGGAAACTAAGGAGTTGACACTAGCTAGTTTTGCAAGGGAACACAGCACCTCCAAGGAGAGAGCTCGTACTAGTGAAACAGAGGAAACCAAATTGAGCAGGGGCAGGGAGACCACAGTGGAGCAGTAGTATACAAGGACTCCTTTTCTGCTCATGACAAAGAATGGAGGAAAAGAAAGGCCACTAGACTAAGTATACGGTGACACTAAAAGATAAAGATCTTGCTGCCATGTACCCATACCTCTCCCAGCTGAGTCACCCACTCCAAATTGCCCTAAAACAACTCCTTGCCACCATTAATCTCATGCTATCATCAAGTAGCCAAGCAACCATATAACATACATTTTTTCTTTTCCGAGAAGAAAAATCACCAAAACCCTTTGCAAAATAACCAATCTCATATTTTAAACTATCCTCCAGGAGTTCATCAATGAATTCCTTCAAAACAATCTTCCTAATCGTGCTTGTCATTAAGTATAAGAGCTACCAGGATTGAGAATCCAAAACAAGACATAGTTCTCCTACATACATCTGCCCCTAAATGATCATACAAATCCATTTACATCCATACTTTATATATTAAGAAACAATGTCAAAATCGCAAAAACACATTTTCTCAATGAATAGAAATATTCCCAACAGCATCTTAGACAAACTACTCACAATTCTAACAGCATAACTCAAGGAAATTAACCCAGGCTCATGAAATAATATCCTGATTGCTACTAATCCATGGTTAATTGATAATGCCACTCTTCAGAAATGATTTCCCTCTATGAAATTGAAAATGCATAAACATTTGCAGAA